AGCTAAATAAATACAAAAATAGAGAAGATTGAAGATTATGGAACTCTGTAATTATCACGAATTATCACTCTTAAAATTATTTATCTTAAATTAGAAACTTAAGCATTCTCAAAACTATTTAATCTTTTAGAGAGTAAGTTTTATAATTAATTATCAAGTTATTTAAAATTTAGCAATTCATTAAATAATCTTTTTATTTTATTAGAGCTCCAATCCATTATCCATTTATCCATCAGATATTCAATATCTGAATATATTTGGATATCTGGTTACTATTGATATCCAGATAATTATTCAAATATCTATTAGATTATCCAGATATTAATAGTAAATGGATATCCAGATAAATTTGAATATGGATAAATAGATGATAGATTTATCTGAATTAGAACTTTACATTTTATCATAATTTTAAATCGAGTATTAAGTATCATAACATATTTTGTAAATTATAAAAAGTCTAGTCAGCTAAATTAAAATTTTGAATTATTTTTAGTTAGTAAACCTCTAGACTCATTTGAGATTCTCGATGATGATTAATTATTTATTTTAATGCAATTAGTTAAAATAATGAAACTTCGAATTCATTACTAGATTTTAATACTTATAATAAAATCATTTAATTTGATAAAAATTATAAAGTACTTTGCTTACTTTTTGGATTTCATTCAAATCTTGTTTGAATTCAAAATTTTATTGAAGAGAATTTTATTCAAACACTAATCAGATGACTACCTGTGAGTCAACTGTGAGTTAACCACCTATGAGTCAACCTATGGGTTACCTATCTGTTTTTACTCAGGTTACTACAACTCTAACTCAGGTTACCTACCTACCTGCAGGTGATCTAAATTATACATACCTGGGTCCAATCTCTAGTCTGTACCTTCAAATATCACACAAAACAGATCCTCCTAAATTTAAAAGTTGGTATTACCTGTGCTTTTAGACATTACACAAGACAGATCCTCTCAAATTCGAAAGTTGGTGTTGCCTGTACTTCTAGATATCATATGAAACAGATCCTCCCAAATCTAGTTAGCTGTTAAGCCAAGTTGGTGTTGCTATATAACTTTGTGTAATGGACTTCTACATACTCACTTATTGATCTTTTTATATGCAGAACTTACTTGTACCTGCTTATAGTTATTTTTGTATGCAAGACTTACTTATACCTACTCACTGATCTTTTCATATGCAGATTTTCTTTTCTGGATCAAATATTAACTAGTATGACTATACTACTTCATCTAACTTGAGATTTCTACTATGCAGGTTCCCTGTTTGTAGATCCTATTAAGATTTATTTATATAATATTATGTTTCTCAAGTGCTCTGTTATACTTCTAATATTCAAATAATATTGGTGCAATATGATTTACAAGGTTACAACTCCAGAAATGAACAGGGTTTACTGTAAGTTGAATACAAAGGTCTAAGTAATTATTCAATTCTGTTGACAATAGGATTTGAACTCTAAACCTTTTGCATAGTGGTCTAATAATCTAACTACTATACTAAGATTATCAGACTCTACAAATATTTGTTAAATGCATTAAAATCAGAATACCAAAAAAAATTTTACCTCTTAGAGTTCTGAAATTCCTAAGAACTAAAAAAAAAATAATTTAAACCCTAAGACAATAGCTAGAAAAAAAAGAGTATTAGTTAGCAAGTTCAAAATTTATAACAAACAAAAAGAATTATACTATCCTAAAATAGCCTAAAGCAAGAAGTTCTTAAAAAAAAATATAATACAACAATATAATAATGATCTTGAAGAAAGTATCAAAGTAGTGAAAAAAGCTAAAAAAGAAATATCAAAATAATAAGGTAAACATCAAAGTGATGAAGGAAGTACTAAATAATGAAATAAATACCAAAATAACGAAGGAAGCATTAAATAATGAAGTAAATATCAAAGTGATAAAAGAAGTACTAAATAATAAAATAAATACTAAAGTGATGAAGAAAGCACCAAATAACGAAGTAAATACCAAAGTGATGAAAGAAGCACTAAATAATAAAGTAAACATCAAAGTGATAAAAAAAATCTAGGGTAACTATTAAAGATTAAAAAAAAAGTCTAATTAAAATTAAGATATAATTATTTTAAGAGTGATAATTCGTGATAATTACAGAGTTCCATAATCTTCAATCTTCTCTATTTTTGTATTTATTTAGCT